TCAAAAGTGTTTGTGAAGTAGAAAATTCTTGAGGCGCGTTGGCAACGGAAGTCTGTCAACTTTACTTGGTGGGACTCGGGTGTTAATCACTTGTCGGCATAGGAACTTTAGGTTAAAGATCATTGGTAGCTGCCATATTCGAATGTACCCATCGCTATAGCTACCAGCAAGTTCCTCGCCGCTTTGGGTAAAAGCCATGTGAAAGACCCCTGCCTCGCTGTGGAATTCTGGTGGCTGTTGCGATGGGTCTAAGACAAAACTAACTTGTCCATTCTCTGTATTCACACAAGAAATAATGCCGTCATTTGCTCCCACTGCTAGTAAGGTTCCATCCGGGGAATATCTGACTACATTAAGCATCTTTTTAAACTTTAGGTTGTGTCTAACTTGGATTTCGATGTCCCTTCTGTCAAAACTCGACATGCGCCAAGTTTTAACCACACCTGCGTAAATAACGCACGTGGCAAATTCTTGAAAGGGAAAGCGCGGATCAAAGATGCAGACAGACTGTGTAACGTAGTCTTCCAGATTGCTATCACCGAGATCTGGAACTTTATATGGAGCAAGAATTTTCGCGCTGTCTAGACTTTTCGTCAAGGCCAAGCGTGTGGAGATTAAGAAATAAACATTTCCTTGCGATGAGGTTACTGCAAGAAGTTGACCGTTGGGAGAAAACGCGCAATCTACAACCACGCCGCGAAAACCAACACACACTTTGCTTACTTTCTCAGAACAAACCGTTTTTGCGTTTCGCGTATTGGTGATTGACAGGTTTAGAGATCCTCCCACTACACGGATGGAGGCAACCATGCTCCCATCACCGGAGAACGGGCACCCTTGCGGATATATCCGACGGTATTCCGACAGAGTTCCCAGGATGTTGCACGGAGTACATTTTTGCGGGTAGAACCAACCTTTGAGATAAAAAGATCTTCTTCTTCCTCAATGCCATGCTTTGTTGCTAGGCAGCACAGCTGAACACCGTTGGGGGAAATTGACCATGGACCGGAAGTAAGTGTGCAGTGGTACTTGGTGATAGCCGTGGAAGGTGAGGATGTTAAGTCCCAAGTGCGCGTGCGAGAAGTGTAGGTTGGATTTTTCGCCAAGTGCGATGAAGGTTCCACAACCGCTCCTTGAGAGAGTAAACATATTATATATTACGTATCTGGTAAGTTCAGTGGTCTTGCGTTGGCCCGTTTACCAGGTTCTGATAAGGGAAATGGTCATCCAAACTATTGTACATAGCCAGGACCCATCACTTAACGGAAACAGTAGTTTAGTGGTATCTCTATAAAACGATGGTTTCTCATTTGAAGAGCTTTCCCCCCAATAATTGCCGATTATAGTATAAGATTTAAATGCCTTAGTGATGTTTGTCTGGCAATGTAAGCCTCATGCATAAAAAAAAGTTTAAAAGGATGCGAAGTCTATTTTTCGGCGACGTTGTCATGGACGTCGCCGTTGTCAGATCGTAAGGTCCCTAGTATTACAGTTAGACTGCGCCGCGCCGAAGTGGATCGCCACATTAAGTTCGGATAGATTCTGTCAGTTTTTGTGCCACCTTTCGTGGCAGTGTGATCAGACGTCCACACCAGGCCGGAATATCTTTTATGTCGACACAAGAGCCATAACCTCTCCGGTTTAGTGTTTACATAGCCTAAACACTCAATTTTTGTATGAATATTAAATTGAAATGAGGCTGAATACGATCAACAGGGAGATTGTTGTCTCTGTTGTGGTTCAATTTTATCCTTGGTATAAATTTCATTTCCCTCTATTGCGTATGGTAATGTATGATGATGAGTTTAAAACAAAGGGAAATAAAATTTAAACCAAGGATATAATCGAACCACAACATCTACGTCAAGACTGTCGTATTCGGCCGATCACACTATAGCAACTGAACTTAAAGCTTTCAAAGTCACTCCCACGTTGTTTATTTAATTTTGTATTTCTTTCTTTGTCAATTTTTTTTTGCGCAATTCAAGGTAAGATATTTAGGCGGTAATCTTCAAATCTAAGGATGGGAAATGGCATGAACAACCATGATTGAAAATTTCTGTCAACATTGATTAACTAGAAATGTGAAATTAATATCACAAGCCTCATTGCTGTCGCCCGGTGTCTAAGGGTATTTTTTCTACAGTATTACGCCGCGGTTTATGTGTTCGCAGCTGTATTTCGTATAGACTATCTCTCGCTAGTCTTCACAATTTTTTTGGCCAATCAGTGTCTTGGAAAACCGGAATTCACTTGCTTCGAGGAGATTCAATTTCTCTCAAACTGTTTTACAATTCACTGACTAATTATATTTCAGCTAGGCGAGTAAGTAACAGTTTATTTCTAATGTGAAACATTTGTTCATTGCGTTTACAATTAGTATTATTTTTCGTTTTACCAAACTTAATCAATCTAAACACGAAATGGCTGCATGACTAAATTATTCTAGTTTAAATGTTTTGCCTTGTTCTTCTGTACGGTTGTTCGAAAGTGGAAAAAACCATCTGTGCTAATAGGTAATAGATGGACTTTCCTTTTGCTGACCAAGCCTTCAGATCTGTATGTTGTAAAGACTATGATGCATGTAAATCGACAGATCAACAAACTGTACAATTTAAACGACTTGAAAAAAAAAAAAAAATAAATGCAAACGTTTTTATAGTACGTCAAATGAAAGAAAAGACTTCGACTTGCGTTGACAACGTTCTCTTACCCGACAGCAATTAAGTTCTACACACAAACTTTATTCAACTTTTAAAAACAATCCGGGAGGTTAAATGTCAACATTCAGTTAATGAAAGTATCATTCGTTCGACAAATTTAATCTCATTTGCCATTTCATGTAAGCTTGTGTTGATTATGTCATATGTAGCAAATAAAACTCAGTACATTAAGGATGAAAAAGGTACTTTGCTCACCGTATATGAGTACTGAATCATCCTGAGCAGCAAATAAACACTGATATTGGTAATGATATCTCACAGAACTAATCAATTCATGCATATAGCGCGGAGGATTACTGCTCGCCAGACCTTCCCCTGTTAATTGCATAACAACAGTACCCCGAGTACATCTTTTCTTCCGCGGGAATGGCTTGTAGACCCTTGTGGACGACGGAGAAGGGTCTTGTAACGATTGAGGAAAGTAGTGGCTTGAGCAAGTTATACCCATCGTGAAGAAAACAGCGAACGAAGCAACCGAAAATGTAAATTTGTCAACTTTTCCGGAGTAGTCGGCTGTTTAAAACAATGCGGCGCGGTGAATCGCTTGATTTACGTCACAGAGTTGAGACTTGACAATGCTCAGTGGTCGCTATTTGTTTTGTGCTTTTTTTTCTGTTACCTGATCGGAAAAGACGGAGGTGTAATTTATCTAGTCTGAATCAAAATTTCGTTAAAAAAAAAAAATTGTTAATTTTTTTAGTCGCCTTCTGGACCAGTGTAAAAAGTTCAATGTAAAATTTACTTTTAAATCTGGTGTCTGTAAAATGCCGACTGTAGAGTCGTTCCAGGGTTCACTGTCCTTTTGCTTGTGTCCAGTCTCCACAATGGTAAACTTAACAACATGGCAAAGAAAGTTTCCATTCGCGTAAATCAAGTGTTACTAAGTAGACAGTAGTCTAGCAAACAACAGCCGATTCTAGCTGGACTTTGAAATCTAAAAAGTCAGTGCTTGCAACGCAGCAGCTGGTAATTCATAGCCTGTTCCAGGCGTTCAGATAGTGGGGAGCGGTGCGAAGTAAAAAGGAGGGCGAAAAAATAAAAGCGAGGTAGGAGGAGAGGTGACGTTCCTACACCTCTCTCCCCAGTCCCCCTCTTCTTTTCATCGCTTTCTTTACTCCGCACCGCTGTCCACTATCTGAACGTTTGGACAGGCCCGGCGGGGGGGGGGGTTACTCCCATATATGGGCTATATAGGTACGTGCCGCGGAATAGGGTATGGTTTTTGAGGTTCTCGGTCTTTAAATAGGGTATCTTTTTTGACCCTTTTGTTTCTGTGTCCCTGGTGTGGTCCTTAGATAGGGTAGCTTAATTGTATTATCTAATACTGGAGTGTGAAAACGGCCGCCGGTTATGACTGCATATTATTAAACTAGGCTTATTCTAGTATTTTATGCTTGATGCTATACATCCAATGTTACAGAGAAGAAATAAAGTTTTCCTTTTCATGCTATTAATAATTTTGTTTTTTCCTTGAATAGGGTGTCATTTTTCGGCTTTGGGCCTTAAAAAGGGTATCAGTTTTCGCTTTCTTAGTCCTTAAATAGGGTTAGGGTTCACGAACCTTCGCGGCACACCCCTATCCAAAATTCGCGGGAGTACCCCCCTCCCCCGGGGGAACAGGCTAGTAATTCAAAGCTAGTAAACTTAGAACACAGTGACAACACTGTATTCATAGTTTTTTTTTTCGTTAAAACCTCTTCTATTTTATGCCTCAGTTTAAATATAATCAGTTCGTTTAAACGATATCAAGCAATTGGATTTGCTGCTGTGAACAAAGTCAATGATATGGTATCGGCTTTGACTTCACCTTCGACGCACGTCAAATGTGAATTAAACCAAATATAGACCCTCTTTGCTAACACCTTCGTCCTTGGTAAAGGTGAAGTCAAATACGTAACAAGTTTGAGTCACGTGAAGTCAACATGTAAAGGCTTTGCTTCACTGAACACACGATTTACCACTTTACCTGGGTAAACAGTCCCCCCCGTTAACCTCGAGCGATTTCTTAACAGTTGATGTTAGCGTTATTGGTCTAGTCATATTCAGAAGTGCTCTAATAAGGCGGAAATCATGGGTGAATTCAGAGGTGGACCGGTAATCCTGATCTAGGCGTTCAATGGTGAGGAGCGAGTTTTTATTTTTGAAAAACGAGGGGGGGGAGAAAACGACAGGACGACCCACACTACAGTCTCCTCTCGTTTTTACTCCTAGTTCAGTTATTTTTCGAGAGTGCCAATGGGGTTAGCAGTTAATTTAACTGAAAATTGGCCAAAGAACAGTAGAAGATCTGAAAGACTAGTGATATTTGGTCAAAACATTAGAACTTGACTGAAAACTGGGTACCCCCGTTAACACCCTCATTTTTCGCCCGAGCTCTATTATCTGAACGCCTTGAGCAGGCTAATTCTTGACTGAATCGGTTTAGGAATTTGACCGGTTTGCTGATGTCGCAAAACTTGCTCTTGGGCAATGCGTTTAGATCGTAAGGGCGTAATATGTTCTATTCCTCCGTCACCATATTTTTGGATGGGCTGTCCAACAGCCACCATGTCAGCCGCATTGTTGCTGCCGAGCCTGTTTAGATTCTGAAGAACTGGCCAGGCCGTGATCAAGGTGCTGGGTTCCAGTCCACCACGCTTGGTCATACTTGGTGAATTCGGTGAATACCAAGGCTTTTCGTAGCTTCTCGATGGCTATCGAGCGACAGGTCACTAAGATCATCTTTAAGAAAATCCAAATCGATCCGTTTTGTGCAATGTTCCATGTGTGATCATGCTACTTCAGGTACGTTGCAAGTGAACAAGCGATGGTCAAGTCAAAGGAAATGGAAATGAATTGACTGGACACTTGGCGCCAAAACCATCCCAGTGTTCGGGTGTTTCTCTCTTAGACCACAGAGTGGGCTAATTGCCTAATTGGGCTAAGCATGGTGTTACAGATCAGCTACTTCCAGTCCCTGCAGTGAATTTTTCCTTAAAGAGAGTTTGAATTAGGTGATGATCCTTCCTTGTAACTACGTTACAGGCATGAGATTATTTCTTGGACCATGCGGTGATCGAAAGATTCGTTGTAGGGGTACCGGAAGTC